CTTCACAGTTTGTCAAGTCAGGGCAACATCCGGGCCACCACTCTTGCCATCACCATCACCACCATTGCTATCATTTAGTTTTATTTGTAAAAAGTTAAACTCTTTCTTTCTTTGTTTCTTTATGCGCAAACTGGTTTGTGCAGCGCAATATGATACATGTAGCCGGGTAAAGAGTAATTTCGCTACAATATTGTTTGCAGGTTACAATAAGTTTCCAGTTGTAAAGGTACGACGAATAAACAATAACAAACAAACAATAACGAAAAAATGACACGAATCGTGATATAAATGTCACAGATTAATGTCTGTACTGCAGTGTTATTCTCTTAGGTAAAGGTGACTACCAGGTCAATAGTATTGGCCTTACCATATTATAAATCCTCATGACATAATCCTACTTTCAAGCCTTACAGGACGAACTTTGTTCGCAAGGGTTCAGTGGTTTTTCGACTATATTTTCAAATCTTTCATATTAGTACGGACGGAATAAGTTTAGAACAAAAGTTCCTTATATTAACATTTAAGTATAATATAATAGAAATCTAAAATCGATTTCAAATTAGAATATAATATCGACCAATCTGATTAAGTTATAAAATTAGAAGTTTGTACAATAAATTAATCAATCGTTTGATTACATACAATAAACATGGACGGAGTTAATCATAACCTAAGTTAACTTACATTCAGCCTTCATACATCTTAAAACTACTAAATATTGCGATTTTATACTCTGCCTTTAAGTACATAATGTTGAATATGGAATGTATTTGAGATTTTTGAAACAATTCAGAAGTGTGTTTTTGGTATTTACGCCTATCATAACTGGCGGTCCAAAGGTCAAATAGGGTAGTTGCCAGGGTATCAAAATTAACAATCCAATTAGTCGTTACGTAATAACGTGTTACAAAATGTGGCACGTTGTGACGTCCCACGATATTTCAAATTAATATATCGTCAAAAGCATTTAATTTTGTGAGAAAAGAAAAAATACGTGTCTAAAATTTTAAAATAATGTACCAGACGGACATTAAAATAAAATTTAGGAAACTACCCTATTATATGAGGGCTATTAAAGTCGATATAAGTATGTTCATAAAAAAATACACCTGTTTCACAATGTTCGGTTAGACGCTATGTACCAATACAAGAATTAAGAGCGTAATTTTTATGAACTACCTCACGTAAGTTTATCGGGTACTTATACTGAAGATGAAACAGGCGCTAAGACAGTTTATGAATAATTGGAGCAAATATTTTAACTATACACATATGTCGTGCATCTGGAGGGGTTAATACAGCATAATGGCGCCGTTAACCTTCTCTTCTAAAGCGGGCGCTATAGTGTCCATATCCCGACCATCGGCCATTGCTATCAATACACAGACATTGTTGATAAATGCTGTTATACTGGCTGCTACCACCAACCTGGAAACGAAAATATTTTATAATTAAACTAGCTGTTACCCGCGACTTCGTCCGCGTGAAATAACGACTTCTGTATAAATTGGGTTTTTTAAATTAGTCTTTGTCAAGGTATATTCTACGGCTGTACAACTGGAACAAATATCATCACAATCGATTCAGTACCTAGGTTATATTTATTGAGAAATGAATTTATTTTCGTGGTTTCTAAAATAAACAATCCCATGGAGGTTTTACCCGTACAGTGCCCGTCTCGTGAGGTTTCACTATTCTATGTTTGCAAATCAATGTTGTATCGCATTTCAATCAAATAGATAAAGTGATTTTAACAGCACAGTTCCCGGTTTCGTGGGTTTTTCGAGTTAAAAACTTTTAGATGTCCTTTCCCGGGTCTCAAACTATCGCTGTACCGAATTTCACCAAATAGGTTCAATGGTTTAAAAGGTAAGAGCCCCTCTTTATTTCAACGTCCTTGGTCCCGGTTTTTTAGCGCATAGTTTCCGTCATTTTGGGATTTCCTCCTACCTAAAGGAGATTTTTTTTGAGGTCTGAAAATCACCCAATCACTTCTCCCGCCTTGGGTTAGGTGAGAGGGAGTGACAGATTCTTACTGACTAAAATCCACTCCGTTCCTACTCCTGCTCGTCGAGCCGGAGCCCCGTCAACTCGTTAGGCCTCCCGCGGCACCGTATCGAGCATCAGCCCTACTGGGCTCCATCTATGATGGTGTCATGGCTCTGTAAGGCGCGCGCCGTATGCACGGGACTGGTTGTGGTCGGGTGGCGAGCTACCCTTGCTCTTCGTCTACAGACCCGCACTTACGGTGGCCGGTGGCCGGCCGATCTCCGACGCCCAGAGTGTCTCCCGCGACGGCTGGGGCGTGAGGAAGTTCATTCCCTCACGCGCTCCGCTTTATCCTTGGCAAGCATAACTGCTTCGCAGAAGGATGCGACTGCATCCCAATCCCCCTCGCTCCATGGCCTGAACCAGAGCCGAACGCGAGAGGTCACCGATTCCTACATCCCTGAGAACACGGCGGTGCTCAGCCCATGCAAGGTACACCGCCACGGTATGCTCCACCGTGTTCACCGGGCGGTCCTTGCATTGATGGCCTCTCTAAAGCCACTTTTAAAGAGGGGACTTTCCGCTGCAATGACAGCGAGCCCAGCCCTCGGTTACCTAAAGGAGTGTTTCGCTGTGTAAGTGAGGTTATCGGAGGCCCAATTACCCCTCCCCCAGCCCCCCCAATCCCTGACAATCCTCAAATTACCAATTCCCAAAAGACCGGTAACGCACTTCTAGAACTTCTGGTGTTACAGATGTCCATGGGCGGCGCAGTGATCCGTCTGCTCGTTTACCGGCTTATGCCATAAACAAACAGCAAACTATCATAGTGAATTTGGCCTTGACGGTCTAAAATGAAAAGGACTAATATTATTTTTTAGCTATGTGCATTTAGCTAGTTTTTTTGATATACATATAAAAAATACGAATTCAAGTAAACTGAAAATATTTTATTCGTGGTTTTATCTCCTTAGACTGCTGTCAACCTCTTTGCATACCTTAATATTAATACCATAGTATAAAAAAAATCTATGACACATTGACTTTGTAAACTCACTTGTCACACAAATGTCAGATGACTTAAGAAATGAATACTAATAATATAAATTTGTATGTGCTTGTTTGTTTGTTTGTCCGTATTTCACGACAGAACGGAGTCAGAAAGGTTTTTGATTTGAGATAGTTGAAAAGATGGAGAGTATCATAGGCTACTTTTTGTCTTTTTCTAACTCCCTTCCACTTCCGTGAAACAGAGGTGAAAGTTTGTATGGGGTATTTTGCAATTTTCAATGTGGAAAGCTAACAATTGGTATGCGGGTTATTTGTGACCAGCATAGAATCGTGCATCATTTCATTTTTTTATTGTAAATCCTTCCCTCACCCCATTAAAAGAACGCGAGAGAATCCGCAGACAGAGGCTAGTCTATGAATAAATTGTATTCAGTCAATTGAATTCGTATTTTGTCTTTAAAATCCCTGATCCCTGATGCAGTAACAAAGACAGACGACATCCGATCGACATCCGATGCGACGACACAGTGGTGGCATGCGCGTGAGCTGCGCGCGGAACTGGACAGTACTTGAACATTTCAACATAACTTTATTTTTCTAAAATAAAAGATTTTTTTCTAAAATAAAAGTAGCCTAAGTTACTCCTTATTACATAAGCTATCTGCCAGTGGAAGTCCCGTCCAAATCGGTCCAGGCGTTCCAGAGATTAGCCGGAACAAACAGACAGACAGACAGACAGACAGACAGACAAAAATTGTAAAAGAATATATTTTAGTATGTGTACCGTATATACATTCATATGCATGTAGTAGGAAGCAGTTATTTTAATATTACAAACAGACACTCCAATTTTATTTATTTGTATAGATAAAATAACATCACGCTTTCCATCTCCGCCACTGTACAATGTAACACCCACTTTTTACTATTTATATTATGAGTCCCATGTAGTAGGGGGTGAGCCTATTGTCATATATCGGGTACAATTCAATTTTTTTAAATTCCAGTATTACTTTGCCCGACCCGGGAATCGAACCCGAGGTCCGTTGCTCAGTAGTCGCACTTACGACCACTCGGCCGATGAGGCAATTGCAAGTGCGACTCGAGGCAGTCGAGGCAGTTATAATGAAATACTCGGCTCCTATTAATCGCAGCGTAACGCTTTATAGCCTTCCTCGATTAATGGACTATCCAACATAATAAGGATTATTCAATTTGAACTAGTAGTTGTAGAGATTAGCTCGTTCAAATCAACAAACAAACTCATCAGTTTCATTTAAAAAAATAAAGAATTATAAAGGATAGATTTACTTATGACCGCGTGGTCGCAAGTATTGCTAAGGCTTGCTTCTGCTTGATCTTATATCTGTGTAAATATAAGATACCAATTTTTTGACCACTCCCTCTATTAGTGTTACGTGCGAAATGAAACTAATTTCGGAAGCAATGTTTTCATTCAATAATTTCTAGGCGTTTTGAAAAATATCACCCACTTCGCACTAGGGATGAGTCTCACATGCGAATAGCTGTGTAGTGGGTAATTGCACATTAGCCACTAACCGAGTTTAGAATTTAACCCTTATCGTTAAGCTGTTAAGGTCCACTATAGCTTGCCTGCGTAGCGGGATAGCAGGAAAAATGAAGAACGAAACTCGAAGAATAGAATAGAATAGTATTATTAGATAGAAGATAGAATATTATATTATAAAATATTACATAAGCAAGCAAGCAACGTCTAAGCGCGTGTACAGTAGTTTCGGTCGCCGACGTGAGACTGATGAAGTACCTCCGCTTACCGCGCGCACGCAAGTAAGTAAAACATCGTATGATTTTAGACCGCGGCCCCAAGCTCATAAGCGACCGCGATTTTGCGCACATTATAAGGTGCTGGTCCAAGTTGCAACCCGCTGACAAGGACGAGGGGAGGGCCAAAAAATCACAAATATCGTGTGACGTGATTTATGCATGGCCGCAAAACAAGGTATTTGAGTAAAATTTTCTCACCAGAAGGACAATCCAAGGTCAGCGGTATCGTCTGAAGACCAGGTGTTGGCCAGGTCCTCGTCCGACATGACGTTGTGCTGCAGTCTTAGAAAGTATTCCGTCAGCCATACTGCTATTGCACCGAGGCTGAATAGCACTGGAATTGCAGAAAATATTTATTAATAAGTTTATTAAACTGTCAAACACCGCGAGGACACCGGTGACCCCAACCTATTGTTCTTTAATTGTGTCTATGATGACGGTAGGTACTCAACGAGTTAATTTATTTACTAGCTGTTGTTCGCAGTTTTATCGTGTGTAATATGATTATACAACCAACTTTCAAACATTTATTCCCTTATTAATTATTATATATGGACCAATGAGATACTTTCATACATAATCTGATCCCCTCTATTGTCCCTTTGAAGGGGTGGGGAGGAGAAATTTTTATACACCAGATGGTAAGTTGATAGAATAAATATACATCTGTGAAAATCGAATTCGAATTGGATCAGTAGTTTTCTAGTTATACGCACACAAACATACAGACAAAGAGACAGTAAAAAAATCTAACTTCAATTTTGGATTTATTTCTACAGTTTTATTATAGTATTTATAGATTTATTGATTGCACCAACAACTACCATTATCATTACAGTCATAGTTATAATCCAATACGATAGTGTGGTCATCTTACAAGTTACAAGTTGTGTTTCACCATAATTATGAGTGAAGATATCGGAGTCCCAATCCTTCCCCATTCCCAAATCTTCAGTTCCTCAATCACCAATAGCGGTTACGGAATTTATGCTTACCAAATGGCTTCAATATGAACCTCTCGTTTTTCGTCCAATACGGAATAAGCAAGTGTCACACAAATAAAAATTCTATATTTGATTGGACAAAAAGATCTCTTGCTACGTTTTGTACCACCTAGTGACCAAAAGAACAGTAGCCCCCATTGCTTTGGCTTACCGACACGACGCGAAATTTGAAGAATGCATGCAACCTACAAATGACAGTAGACGGATTTATATGAGGAAGTGAGTGACGCAACGTTGCCGTTTCGTGGACAGTGTTCATTATTTCTATGCAAGATGCAAGTATTTTCCATAAGTACGGCCAGTAGCCGTGGTGGTCGTGGTGGCCCGCAGGTTTAAGACGTGGTGCGGGTTCGAATCCTACCAACGGCAAGTACCAATGTGACTTTTTCGGAGTTATATGTACCTTCTAAGATTATCTAGACACCATTGACAAACGGTGAAGGAAAACATCGTTAGAAAACCTGGGCTTATAATTTATAATTATAAGTTTGTAATCGCCAACCCGCATTGAGCAAGCGTAGTGATTAATGCTCAAACCTTCTCCGTGTGAGAAGAGGCTTTGCTCAGTAGTGGGCATTTATAGGCTGTTAATGATGATCATGAGATACTGGCATTTGTAGGTCGCATGTATTCGTCAAATGACGCGTCGTAGACACTAGGTCTAAGGTTTGTTATCTCTGCTCTCTACACTGATTTAGTTATCAACTTGTTTATAAAAAATATTATAGCTACCTGCTAAAGAATTACTGATAAGTAGAGGTTTGGGGGAGCAACGCGCCCGCGCAGCCGATCCCAATGCGGCTAGCACGCATGCGCCGCCCGCTGACAGCACAGAGGCCGCTAGTAGCGCGGCTGTACCGCACCACGCCCATCTCCGAGCTGGATGTGTGCCGGCTTTCACTGAAACATTTATAACATAAAAATTAAAATAAAATAATACACATAAACGTCACAGAAAGATTTGTAGCAACAAGACTCAAAAGACTGACTGATACAAGGTGTACTTTTCCGTGAACAACACATATGTCATTGTAACTTGATTTTTTTTTTATATTTTGGTATCTGGTGCCATTTGGACGTCGACTTCAAAGGCACCCTGTGCGTAAGTACCTAGATGGAATACCTGACCTTTTTCTATCATATTTGTCATCAACTCATGAACTCATCACATCATCATTAAAGTGTTGTTTGTATTTTGTAGTTGTATCTAGTAGTTATACGAAAGATTTGGCGTTCTTTGCGTTGACTGCCTCGTTGGCCAAGTAGTCGCAGGTGCGACTGCCAGGCAAGGGGTCTCGGGTTCGATTCCCGGGTCGGGCAAAGTATTACTGGATTTTTTTTTAAATTCTCAGTGGTAGCTTGGATTCTGGAATGGAATTGTGCCTGGTATATGGCAATAGACCCACCCCCTATTACATGGGACTCATAATATAAATAGTGAAAAGTGAGTGTTACATTGTACAGTGGCATTAAGTGCCGTAATGTACACCTCTGCTTACTCCTTCGGTGTGTGGGTTTGTGTGTATGTTTGTTACTCAATCAAGTCATAATGGCTGAAGGGATCGGGTTGAAATTTGGAACAGGGATAGACTATGGTTTGGAATAACACATAGGCTACTTTTCATCCTACGGGAATGCGGGCGAAACCGCGGGTAGAAGCTAGTTTAGTAAGTAAATGAAATGTATCTTACCACTAAAATCATGAATCCTCCACCCATACGCAGGGTTCAGCTCTTTCCGACCTTCAAAAAGACCAAAACTGATCCTCCCTTCGGATTCCAATGGATTTGATGTCCTTCGGGCACGCGCATCAATCCAATGCGTAGTCCCCAAAGACGCCACTATCAACGCGATACACAAACACGAACCGAAAAACGTCGCAAAAATCATAGACCGCTTAAACAAATTCAACTTCATTTTGATCTTATTTCACTTTCACTGTCTACGTAGTTCGCACAAGTACGGCTAGATGGCGTTATGTCACATTTTTTTCACAGACGCGCTAGCTAATTGGTTTGTTTTTATTATATTTTCTAGCTATTCAAGTTGTGAGATTGGCTCTGCGACACGTCCATTGTTAGAGATATACTGTGCTATCATAACAGTTTCCCTTCGTATCTTCGCTAGAGAAGAAAATCTGAAACAATAAAAGAAAATTGCTTGTATACATAAATGCTAAGTACATGTATATATTAATTAAAGTGCAGTAGTAGCTGCTAAAGCGAGTTACGTAATTTATGTAGTCACGTTAGAAAGAAGTAATTAATAATTGTCTTTTTACTAACATAACATACAGCTACCAACCAAAGTGGATCGTAAAATTTTAAAGCTAATTAAAACCTATGCGTATTGTCTATTAGTGCTTATAACTCGTACATTTGTCGCGGAGAACCTAACGGGTAACCGGGGCTCCGGCTCGATGTGCAGGAGAAGGAACGGGGCGGTTTTTAGTCAGTAAGAGTTTAGTCACTCCCTCCCACCTCACCCAGGCGGGAGCAGTCATTCGATGATTTTCACCCCTTAAACTGTCAAACACCAAGCGGTCACCGGTGACCGCGACCTATTGTTTTTTAATTGTGTCTATAAAACGGTACTCGACGAGTTAAGAAAAAAAACTTATATTTGATCTAAGTAGGTAACCGTAAAAAAAATATAAATGTCAACAAAAAAAGCTTAAAAATGTTCAGCTTTAATAAAAAGGTGCGGATTTCCGTTATTGCAAGATACTTTCGAACAATTTTTGTATGTAAATATTTATTTTAATTATTAACTTATATATAACCGACTGTTACCATCGGAAGCAATAATTTTGATATTAATAACAAACACCACCTTCTTGCCTTTCTAAAGGAAATCTATATATATAAAATTCAAAGGTGATTGACTGACTGACTGACTGACGTAGTGATCTATCAACGCACAGCCCAAACCGCTGGACAGATTGGGCTAAAATTTGGAATACAGATAGATGTTATGACGTAGGCATCCGCTAAGAAAGGATTTTGATAATTTCCACCCCCAAGGGGGTAAAAAAGGGGATGAAAGTTTGTATGAAACTTTGTCAGTTTTTAACCGATCGGGTTGAAATTTGGCACGCAAATAGATGTTATGACGTAAGCATCCACTGTGAAAAGATTTTGATAATTTCCAACCCCAAGGGGGTAAAATAGGGGATGAAAGTTTGTATGAGACTTTGTCAGTTTTAAACCGATCGGGTTGTAATTTGGCATGCAGATAGATGTTATGACGTAAGTATCAGCTGTGAAAGGATTTTGATAATTTCTACCCCCAAGGGGGTAAAATAGGGGATGAAAGTTTGTATGTGACTTTGTCAGTTTTAAACCGATCGGGTTGAAATTTGGTATGCAGATAGATGTTATGACTTAAGCATCCGCTTAGAAAGGATTTTGATAATTTCCACCCCCAAGGGGTAAAATAGGGGATGAAAGTTTGGATGAGACATTGTCAGTTTTAATCCGATCGGGTTGAAATTTGGCATGCAGATAGATGTTATGACGTAGGCATCCGCTGTGAAAGGATTATGATAATTTCCACCCCCAAGGGGGTAAAATAGGGGATGAAAGTTTGTATGAGTCTTTGTCAGTTTAAAACCGATCGGGTTGAAATTTGGCATGCAGATAGATGTTATGACGTAAGCATCCGATTTGAAAGGATTTCGATAATTTCCACCCCCAAGGGGTAAAATAGGGGATGAAAGTTTGTATGAGACTGTCAGTTTTAAATCGATCGGGTGGAAATTTGGCATGCAGATAGATGTTATGACGTAGGCATCCGCTGTGAAAGGATTTTGATAATTTCCACCCCCAAGGGGCTAAAATAGGGGATGAAAGTTTGTATAACACTTTGTCAGTTTTAAATCGATCGAATTGAAGTTTGACATGCAGATAGATGTTATCACATAGGCATCCGCTAAGAAAGGATTTAGATCATTTTCACCCCTAAGGGGGTGAAATAGGGGGTGAAAGTTTATATGAAGCTTTGTCAGTTTTACACCGATGCAGATGAAATTCGGCATGCAGGTAGATGTTATGACGTAGGCATCCCCAAGTAAGGATTTTGATTATTTCCACCTCCAATGGGGTAATGTAGGGGATGAACGTTTGTATGAAGCTTTGTCAGTTTTACACCGATCGGGTTGAAATTCGGCGTGCAGATGAATATTATGACGTAAACGTCCCTTTAGAAAGGTTTTTGAACTTTCTCACCCCAAAGTGGGTAAAATAGGGGGTGAAAGTTTGTATGATACTTTGCCATTTTTAAATTGATCGGGCTGAGACTTTGCATGCATAAAGTTGCAATGACATAGGTATCTCCTTAGAAAGGATTTTGATAAATTCCACCCCTAAGGAGCTAAAATAGGGAATGAGAGTTTGTATAAATCTTCTTAGCCATTGAATTTAGAACCATTGATTCTTTTTGAATTAAATTCGGTAAAACGATGATTTGGGACCTGGGTAACGTATGATAGTTTTTTCACAGATGTCTCACGAGAACGGGAACTATGCATCAATGCCCCAGGACTCTCTAACTCTTAACCACTGAACTTATTCTAGAGAGATTCGGTACAACAATAGTCGATAGAATAGTTTTTATTACTCAAACCTTACGTGATCGGGCACTGTACTGGTAATATCCCTGCGGGATTATTTATTTATTGAAACTACGATAAATAATTTTCAAAATAGGTAATCTACGCGGACGAAGTCGCGGGCAACAGCTAGTGTTTAATAAATAACATAACATAACAAAACATCACGCCTTTTGATCCCCGATGAGATAGGCAGAGGTGCACATTTCGGTCATTAGTACTGTACAATGTAACACCCACTTTTTACTATTTATGATATGAGTCTCATGTAATAGGGGGTGAGCCTATTGCCATATCCAGACTCCGTGCTACTACTGACATTTTAAAAAACCCAGTATTACTTTGCCCGAACCGGGAATCGAACCCGAGACCCCTTGCGAATCGAACGAGGCAGTCATGTTTAATAAGTCAAAAATCGTTTTTAGTTTAATAAATGCTTGAAGTCGGTTACACACGGCAATTGTATACTTTCCTTGATCAAAAGTAAATTATTTTGACTGTTCAATACCATAAAATATTAAAAAATAATCACACTTTCTTCATTGGATTTTATTACATACTTAATTTTAGTATGCTATTTGGTTTGACGCTAAAAAACGTGACGTCACAATACACAATCCCGTACAAAATTCATAGAAAACTATCGTTTTTGACAGTTCGAAAAAAGTATTTACTTTGACTATTTGGCAAGTACCCAATTGTTTCTGATAACCACAAAAAATGTAAATGTTTTGATTTTTAGACTATCGACAGTAAATTATTTATTTAAGTACCGACTATTTTTAACATAACAACATCACGCCTTTTATCCCCGAAGGGGTAGGCAGAGGTGCACATTATGCCACTGTAAGTACAATGTAACACCCACTTTTCACTATTTGTGTTATGAGTCCCATGTAATAGGGGTTGAGCCTATTGCCATATACCGGGCACAATTCCAGACTCCGTGCTAATACTAGGACTTTTTTTAAACTCAGTAATACTTTGCATTCGAAATTGAACCCGAGATCCCTTGTCCGACTGTCGAAGCCTCTAAAGACAAAATTGCAATTGATGGAGCCGTTTTCGCGATCGTTGATACATTAGATTCTACGATACAAGTAAACGCAGAGTTACACATTGTACACATAATTGGGTAGTTTCCAGGGTAAGAAAATTAAAAATCTAATTAGTAGTTAGATAATGAAAAAATATTAGACACGTATTTTTTTTTTTCGTATAACGTTACAATACTTAGATAAAATGGAGTTAAGTTACGTCAAAACGTAGGTACTACATTTTGTAGCACGCTGTGACGTCACACGACATTTTGAATCGATACATCGTCGAAAGCATTTAATATTGTGAGAAAAAAAATACGTGTCTAATGTTTTAAAATAAATAACCAGACGGACATTAAAATAAAATATAGGAATCTAGCCTATTATTATAACAGGGAAGGGACCATCTCTCTTCGCAATTTGTTACATAAAAGTATAGATATGTTAATTATCTCATACATAACAAAGCTTCTGTACAACCTTCCATTGAAA